CAATCCTCAATCCCCATCCAAACAGTTAGATTGTGAACAAACCCAACAAGGTATGTACCGTTTCAAAGTGCACTATCCAATAGCTATACAAAGTTTCTCTCTCACGATTATTAACTGTTGTTTTCATAGAATTCACACATAGGACCACACTGCTGCTGCTTGAACTCGCACAAAAGTACCTGCATCTGTATTACAAAAATAAAATTGCATTCTACAAAAAGCTTGAGCAAGCTTTTAAAGAAAGAGGTTATAGCATCAGTAATGACAAATTTAGGAAAAAAATTTGGCAACATGATAACTACCTACAAAAGGGCTAAAGACCGGTGTCGAGCAACAAGAGAGGAAAAAGTAACTTGGGAGTATTACAAGGTTGGCATGCTTTATGTATTGCAATTACTGCAGAATCACTGGGCTTACATATAAAATATTTTAAATGCATTTATATATATTGTTTCACACGTTTTCTCACAGCAAATGGAAGACTTATTTGGGAAATGTGGAGTTGGGAGTACACCATCAAGCACAATATGCTCAACTCCTCTGTTCAACACTACCTCATCCCAGACTACAGCTCCACAACCCTCAACAGCACCAGCTGAGCAGAACAGCAACCAGGTTTTTGACAATGGAACATGGAAGGTTCAATGGAAGGTTCCAGCAATGGAAGCAATCAAAATCAACAAAAGAGCAATGATAGACAAGTGCTATAACAAGTCTCAAGGTTTGTTTTTAAATTATATAATAAATAAAAATAAAAAAGAATAGAGCAAGCTAGTGTTAGAGGCCTTTTTTGCTTTTGTTAACTGTATAATAAATAAACAGTATATGTGTGTGTAGCAGGTGTTGATTATAAATTGTTTTATTGTAAATTCACTCAAAATCCTTATGTTTTCTTTTGGTAAATAATGTATATATATATGTGATAAAAGAAAAGAAAAAGATTTATTTTATTTCTTTATGAGTTCCGTGTGCGTCGCCGTTGTGATGGCACTGGCGCGCTGCGCGCTTTTGCTTCAGTCCGCGGGAGGTCTGAGCAATGGAACATGGAAGGTTCAATGGAAGGTTCCAGCAATGGAAGCAATCAAAATCAACAAAAGAGCAATGATAGACAAGTGCTATAACAAGTCTCAAGGTTTGTTTTTAAATTATATAATAAATAAAAATAAAAAAGAATAGAGCAAGCTAGTGTTAGAGGCCTTTTTTGCTTTTGTTAACTGTATAATAAATAAACAGTATATGTGTGTGTAGCAGGTGTTGATTATAAATAGTTTTATTGTAAATTCACTCAAAATCCTTATGTTTTCTTTTGGTAAATAATGTATCCATATGTGAGAAAAGAAAAGAAAAAGATTTATTTTATTTCTTTATGAGTTCCGTGTGCGCCGCCGTTGTGATGGCACTGGCGAATAAAAATAATAATAATAATAATTAAAGCTGCAAGCAGCGATGAACGGGCCCTCGCACCCGGGCTCACCGCCACCTGGTGGCTATAAGAAAATAGCGAACGGTGGGCAATATGGTTTTAAAGTGGTAAATATAGGAGGAGTATGTCAAAGTCATTTACATGTGGGATTGGGAATTTGTTCAGGACATAACACATATCAAATGTGTGAAGTTTGGGTCACTGGTGCGCTGCGCGCTTTTGCTTCAGTCCGCGGGAGGTCTGAGCAGAGCGAGGTATGCATTTTGTTCAGTCTTGTTCAGAAACGTGTTCAAAGGGAAATAATCACCAATTAAAGCTGCAAGCAGCGATGAAAGGGCCCTCGCACCCAGGCTCACTGCCACCTGGTGGCTATAAGAAAATAGCGAACGATGGGCAATATGGTTTTAAAGTGGTAACTATAGGAGGAGTTGTCAAAGTCATTTACATGTGATAAACTTTCTGCCAGCTGGTGGTGGTATGATAACTGAATATTGACATGTAGATGTCTTCATGCCAGGAGTTTTATCAAATTTGTTTAGTTTGGTGTAGATTGAACAGTGAATGTTTAAGTTCGTGTAAAACAAGTCATTTATTGTTGCCAGCAGGTGGCGCTATGATCGACTGGATATTGGCCTTTAGATGTGTTGAAGCCAGGAGTTTTATCAAATGTGTGAAGTTTGGGGTAAGTTGGATACTGTATGGTAAAGTGATAAAAAAGTTTATATAGCGTATTTTTCATTATCTGTGTTTTTGTTCTGTCACTGTCATTCTGTTACACTGTGGAGCTTCTGTCATGAAAACAAATTCCTCGTATGTGTAAACATACCTGGCAATAAAAACTCATTCATTCTCATTCATTCATTCATTCATAACTGTGTAAAAAAAAAAAACAATTGGGTTGTTTTTGTTGAGTCATCTGTAAGTCGTGGCAAGACATCACTAATAGCAAAATACAGAATGTGAGGAGTTGCTTGAGAGATTGAAGTTATTAGTGCTTTCATCCGTTGGATGATCAGCGATGGAGATGCTCCACTTTCAATATCATTTGTTCCGATGTGGAGTAGTACCACTGCATTGTTGTGTATTGTCTCAAAGTAGTATATGTGCTGTTTAGGAGATCTCTCAAGAGTAGTGCCTGGGTGTACCCAGCATTTTGCAGCTGGTAGGTAGTCCTCAATTCCTCGACACATGGAGTCTGTTAACAAGCAGACTTGCAGTCCTGTAGGAGAGAAGAAAAAAATGTTTTCTAAAATGTATAACGAAGCTGAAAACTATTGAGTGTGAACATGAAAAAATATTTAGGAGCACCAGTGCAACTGACCCGAACAGCATATTCGGGGAGGAATTTCAACGGTTTCTACTTACAACGTGTTTTTGCAGCATTGAGTAATGTATCAGACCTGCTGATTCCTTGAACGTAATGTCAATCAGTGCTCAAAACACTGTTTTGCTCAGTGCTGAGTTATGCAAGCTCATGAATCCTCTTATGATAACAAAGACACAATGTAAATAAGAGATTCACTGGAGTTTGTAAATATGATATTGATTTAATACAATAAACTTCAAGGTCAATAAAGAAGACTTTAATATTTAGAGAGCGATATTGTTTGACTACAACACTATTGCCTGATTTTGTTCTATTTCGTCAACAAAAATAGTTTGAAACAAAGTCATAGCTAAGCTGCAGTGCATCTCTAAGCAAACACAGCGATGTTTCGTTTATGAATGAACGTGAGTTTTTAAATGAATCTAGTGAATTAATGATTCAACTGCCCGTCCATAAAGACAGTAACTTGCTTTGTTCCTGAATGAATCAGTCGTTTGAACAAATCAATTGAATGAATGATTCAGTAATAAAACAGTGACTTTTCATTTTTAAAGTATTGTTATTTAAATCTTTTAATATTTTTATATTCAAATTTTATATTTAAAATATTAATCTCAACATGGATTTATGAATTTAATTGCACTCATACCACCACTGAGCCTCATTAAATGTCTGTAAATATACCTGTAAGACACTTTTGTGTACTTCTGTGCCATGCACGTCTGTGCAAACTAATTTTGTTCATACTGATTGTTTTTGATCAGTAGCCTAACTTATTCTTCTTCTATTGTTTTAATTAGAAAATTTGAAAAAAGCTTATAAATATATACTTTTGAATTTGACACAAGATGACATACTTTCAATAATATGCCATTAGAAAGTTTTAAAAATGCTCCTGTAAATGACTTTAAGGAGTCAAATATTATCTTGTAATGGGAAGGCTAATTTTTGTTATTGATCAGAAGGTGCTCCTGATTTTTTTATTAAAATAAAAGTAAGAGTAGAGCCTTGATGTTACTAGTGCAAATATGTATTGCTTACCTTGGGGTACGTGGAAAGTTCTTTTGTTGACTGTAGATGTTATTGCCGTTTCTTCTATAGAGAGACAGAGAAGGTTATTTGAGAGGAACAGTGTGTATATTTTCAGAGAGGCTGTATGAAATGTGGTATTGTTATGTTAAGTTACCTTGTTGTTCCATAGTTGCCTTTAGGATGCATCAGAAGAAGCATGAGCGGTGAGAAACGTAACCTTTAGATAAATCTATGTACGGTTGACTTTTAGACGTTAAAGTAGGAGTCAACAGTAAGGGGTGGAGTTAAAGGGTCATGACCCCCTATTTCAGCATTGATTAGTTCTCACCAGTTTTAAAAACCGCTAAAGAAAGTGGGCATGGTGCGCTACGGGAGCAGAGGGGGAAGCGGGGAGACGGGCAACACGGACAGCTTCGGGTTCAGACAGTTTCATTTCGCTCCCATCCAGTTAAAAATACAAATAAATGCACAGCCACTTGAATTGTCAATGTCATTTGCACTGTCAAGTCGGGACAAATTTACAGTTCCTCTGAAAACAAAAAGCCTTTTGAAGAATTGGTTTACTTTAAAATGAAAATTAGTCTATGATTTACTCGTCATAGCCATGTGATACATGATATATAAAATTGCGACCCGCTCAAGAAGATAAAATCGCCAGGGCGGGTATTTTACTGGATATACGATTAAAAATAGATGTGTGCGAATTGGAAATTGTATTTAGGAGCATGGGTGAGTAAATGGTAGTTTATTTAAAAAACGTTTTAATTGAGTGATGTAAAAACATAGATACAGACTAATATGTTTACTGAACTTTAAAAGGATGACGATTTATTTTAAATAACGTAAGACTGTAAATGCAAGACAGTGATTTTGTAGCATGTAGTTTTAGTCGAGATCATTTATATGTTGGGGAATGCTTGCATAATGCCGTAGAATTTGTGGTGTTTAAAAGAAATGTCATCTATTTTTTCAGAGAATTATATAGGGAGGGAATGATTTGTGAAAAGTAATTTAACAAAGTACTTTGTATTCTTTTAAAATGTGTGGTTATTTCAGGTGTGTTTGTCTGACACATACAGGAAGTCATTTCTATAATTTTCAAATTTAAACCACTGTTTCCTGCGAGAATTACGCGGGGGTTTTTCTTAATTAGGCGGGTTTTTCTTGACTCAGTGTCAGATTGGAGGGTGCATTGCCAAGGTAAGCAGGAGTGTTCGTATTGCCGGGTTTTAACTTTTTTCGTTAAGATAAGTATGATTTGTGTTAGTTTATTGATTAAGTATAAGCGTGAATATTGTTTATAGTTGATTAACTGAATACTCTGTTATATGTCAGATAATGGCTGATTTTCCCCCGAGTAAGTTTACTGGGATAAACGATGAAGAGGTGGAGGCGGTTCGACAGGATTTTCAGTTGTCAGCCGTAAGTAATACATTTGGTGATCAGTGTAATTCATGTAATTATGTGTCAACATCGAAAAATCGATGATTAATTGATAACACTGATAAAAAAAATACTGCGAAAACAAAAACATGCAGTTTTGCAAAAGATGCTTGATGCTTGCTTGTGGTGCATTGGCCTAACGTTAACTACACTTTTATAATGAAATAGGCCAGTTTATTAAAGGCTTTATAAATTTAAACTATGTGAGTGGCTTATTATAAAATGTGGCTTTTATTTGTTTTATTGCTTGTTTAAAAATAATGTTTGAAATGCAAATGAATACAGCTGAGAATCTGCGCTGACCAGTTTACTTCCACTACTGACATACAAGTGTGCATGCTGATATTTGTTTGTATTTGCAGTATGCATGCCTGGATACTGCAATGCCTCGCCAGGAGGTATACTCGCAGACTTTGCGAGTGAATAAAAGAGCCATGGAGCTACTGGTCCGTCAGGTGCGCCTACGGCGTTGTACAGAGCAAAAAGTTGCTCTTTTACAGCAGCTGGAGGTTGCCCAGGCATCATTGAGCTGTGCATGTGATGGTAAGCATTTAGTTTTGTTTTGTATGTTGCCAAATATATGATTGTCATGTTGCAATTGTGTAATATTTTTGTACTATGTAAATGTATTTTGTGTTTTTTGTTGGCTGAAATACAGTTAAGCGCTCAAACCACTGATCTATATTAGAGAACTGGATTGATCATAAAAAGTGAAGCAACCATACTGTCATATTGGAATTTTGAAGTATTTACACTCATTCTATTGAGACAATGTGATATATATATATATATATATACAGTATATATACATACATGCTGTATAATGCCGTAAACTGGTTCCTTTGGGGTTAAGGTTTTGGCTGTCAGTTAGTGATGCCCTCTATCAGTGAGGAATAGTAATATGGCTTGTCAGTCACTTCTGTTGATTTTACAGCCTGATTGCAGTTAAGAAAACAATGAGCAATCCAGTTATTCATATAGATCAGTGGGTCAGACTCAGTATAAATACTACAGTAACAGTGAGTTTTGAGGTTACACTATTAGTTTTCAAAGTAAGATATTAACTTAAATGTTAATCATGTGTTATGTTATTTCATCACAGTTTAAGAAGAATAATATTACTTGGTATTGTATAGAAAGTTGCAAGTGAACATTTAATATGTAGGAATTCAGACAACTGACTATTCAAAATTTGGGCATTCGGTGTATATATTGTAGACATGGTGTTATATATGAGTTGATGTTGATTGCATGATCTAGTGTGAAACAAAAGGTACTTGAGAAAATTAAGCACATCACCTAGTGTGCCACTCTATTTGGCAGCCCTTCTGTTGTTTCCCATGCGTACCAGGTCACCTTAATTTGGTTATCTTCTTCTGGGATGTTACAGAGGTTACGCATTTCCAAGAGCTTGCCATTCCTGCATTCAGCACATTGTCCTAACATGCAGAGGGGACTATCTGGATTGCAGGCCACAGCTTCAACAAAATCCTGTGTGCTCTGGAATGCCCGCCTTGGGATGACATGTTGCAGACAGTCCAGGACTAACTTAATGTTTTTCTGTGATATCGGCAGAGACACACATTTCTTGGCGTGTCTGAAGACCGGAGCACATGAGATGGTCGAAGCTCAGCAAATTCAGATTTTCCAATTATAGACTCCGGATGTTCATCACATAATTATATTTATGATAATTAAATTAATTATGGCGATATGTAAATCTTAATTGTTTTCTTTATTAAAAATGTAATGGTGTTCTCTTTATTAAAAATGTTTTTTTAAATATTTTTTTTTATGTTGCTAGAATGAATTTGTTACTGAAATGTTCTGATATAGCTTACAGTAACAGAGGTACGTTTAATGTGAGCCAGTGATTTTAATAGCAACAGCATTGTGAACAAATATGAGCTGGTCACTTGCATGATTCCGTAACGTCTGTAACGCGTAATTAAGGTTGTTTCGAGCAAGTAAGTGAGATTAATTGTCCATCATAATTAGCACGGACATATTTTGGCTTTGTATATGAAGTTTGACATTATTTCTATAAATATTTATTATACAGGATAAACTTTATATTTAAATCGTTACGGACGTGACACAGCACTGAAGCGTCATGACTTCCTAAATATATCGCTTATAAATTTACAAGGCAGTGCTGTCATCATAAAGCGAGTGTATTTATTTCTCATGCATCCCCCCATCTTTCTGCGAAATGCTTACTGTTAACATAAAGTATAAAAAAGGGAGTCTTTGATCCCTCTTTTGAAAGCATGAAATATGGTTGACTGAAAATGTAACTTTTCTATCTGTGCAAACCCCATATGTGGTGAATAAACAAAGCAATTTCCTTAAAATTTCCCTGACAGCACATCAATACAATAAAATACAGACCTTAAAGGACAACTTTGAAAGGGTTTTGTTATTTTGAAATTTTCATGGCAAGGTTGACATACTGTATGCATGGAATTGCTCACGTGCTAAGCGGTTTCCCTGTTAGTCATGAGTTTATTTTTTGCTTGACAGCAAAATATATTACAATGGCCCGGTTGGTTACTGCATGATAACTGAAATCGTGTAAATGGCCTTAAGCTAGTACCTAAATAAACTGCAAAAAGATTGTTTTCTAAAACATAATGGACATAATGGTCCTGAGGGCGCTGCAAGAGCTCGCGACGCCATCTGCAGGACCGTTAAAAATGTTCAAGCGATTTCCTAAAATGCCAAACTCGAGTAGAATCAGCGCTGTTACCCAACCCGGTGACTTTTTATGAATGGCGGTGAGAATTTGAGATTTCTAGTGCTGTCATAAAATTTGCAACAGTTGTGATTTGGGAATGCAACATTCGTCATTAGAAACGTTTATAAATCTGTTGTTGTTTACCAAGAGAAGTTTCGCTGTCACATAATCCTTCAGAAATCATTCTGATATTTTGATGTTCTGGTCAATAAACATTTGATTATTATCAATGTTAAAAACCATTTTGCTGCTTAATATTTTTGTGGAAACAATGATACCACTCAAACATTTGTTTAAGATTTAATAAAAGAGAGATACATTAATAATTTTATTCATCGTGCATGAAAGTTTTCTATTTAATAAATGCATTAACAAATTTAATTCATATATTTGATAAATGCAAATAAATGGTGTTCATTAAACTTTATATTTATCAAAAAAAATCTGAAAAATAGTGCATCACCATTTCCACACAAAATATGAAGCAGCAAAATTGTTTTGAGCATTGATAATAATCAGAAATGTTTGAGTCAAATAAATTGTAATGATTTGTAAAAGATCATGCGACACTGAAAACTGGAGTAATGCTGAAGAAAATTTAGCTTTGCATCATATGAATAACATAAAATTGTATAATATATTAAAGGGGTCATATGATGCGATTTCACTGGTGATGTAGATGTTGTTGAAAGTGAATTTATTGAGAGTGGTGCCTGCAGCAGTCTATCACTTGGACTGGAAAAGGTTTTTGCACAGTATGACACATGTCTTTTGACAGTGTGTAGCAATACGTGTGCAATCATCTCTCAAAACAGACAGTATGCATTGGTTGACTCTTGGCATGATTGATGAAAGTGGAAGCAGTGTTGTTGTATATTTTTCTTCTCTTAAAGATTTGTACAATCACATTGGCCTTTTATCTACAGGGCTCAGTGAGCAACCTTTTGAAATAGCTGGTATCTGTGTCACTGTGAAATCCAGTCAATTGCGAATCATTTCAGCAATGACATATAAACCAAGTGATGACGTTTGTTTGGGCCATTCACAAAGGCTTTTACAAATTCAGCATGTAAGTAGGTCTTGTGAAAGAGCAACTGTGAGTTGTAAAAGCCCTAACATGCCTTTTGCCACCAATGACTTGGCTTTGGAGAATGGTTCTTTTTCACAGCCAGATGCATAAAAAATGTAAAAAGCCGAATATACAAAGAGTTGAACTCTTACAGAGGGTGGTAAAGACTCTGACAAGGCTTTTGAAATTGGGCTTGATTTGGCTTCTGCAAAAGATCTGCCAGTAAATAGTCATGTAAGAAACAAGCGTAAGATTTCAGTAAGGAATTGTACTTCGAAAAAATTTAAAAGATATGATGTTGTTGAAGATAATTCAGATGTAGAATTTGTTAGTGATGAAGTAAATAAAAATATGATGTTTAGTCCTATTTGTAAAAATGTCGGTCAAAGTTTGTGCACACTTTTAAATGTGGACTTTGAAAAGGCAAATGTACCACTGTTTACACGTGTTGGCTTATTAGGAGCTCCATGTAAAAATGACAGTCTAGTGGCTGATGGCAACGGTTTTTTCCGAGCCATCTCTCAAGCTGGGACTGGCACACAAAAGTATCATCGAAAAATACGAGTTGCTGTAGTGCAACAGTTGGAAAAAATGGTGTAAAATACCAAAACATTTTGGGAACAGAGTATCTGTCAATGTCAGAGTACATCAATAAGTCCAAAATGTGATATGTTAACATCTGGGCTACGGAAGTTGAAATACAAGCAACAGCGGATTATTTAGGAGTCAATGTATTTACATTTTTTGACGGCCGTTGGTTAAAATACACTTGCAACAGTAAGCTTTTGTCAAATCGGAGTATCTACTTAGAAAATTGCAATGGAAACCATTATGAAACTGTAGTTTGTGTTTATGAGCCTGAATTACAGAGTTGTTATGGCTATTGCAAAACCAGTGAATCTTATATTACAGGGTACAATATTAGATCACACATTAAGAATGACAATAATGTTTTAGCTTTGGAAAACCAGAAACTGCATTTTGAAGTGCAAATGCAGTCTAGGACTGAACAACAACACAACATATTAAAAACAGTGCGAAATGAGACCTGTGCAGCAGGAATGATAGTAGATTGTGATGTTGAAATTGTGGGTGATTCTGATGTTGAAATTGTGGAAAATGCAGGTCATATGACATTCAAATATAGTCCTGTATCTACTGAAGTTGCACAAACAATATGCAATGAATTAAATTTGAATTTTGAAAGAGAATATATACAAGTATCCCTTGTTTATGGGACTTTAGGCAGTGTTTGTAAGACACATAAAGTTGTTAAGGATGGTAATAGTTTTTTAGAGCAGTAGCTCAAGTGATTAGTGGTTCTGAAAAGAGTCATCGGAAAATAAGACTTGCGGTTGTCAAGTATATGGAAAATCACAGTGAAGAACACATGACGTTAATTGGAAAAGAATATGCTTCAATGTCAGAATATATAACCAAGTCACAAATGAAATATGTAGGATATTGTGCTTCAGACATAGAATTTCAGGGTACAGCAAATGCTTTAGGTGTGGATCTATTTATACGCAATGGGGGAAAATGGATCAAATACATTTGCATGGGCACAGTGCTGAGAAATGAAGGAATTTACATAAAACAATGTGACAATTATTTTGAGGCTGTAATATGTGTCCAACATGCCGATAAGAAGGTTTGCTTTGATTTGTGTAAAGTGGGTAATTTGCCAGAGA